ATCTTTTAGCAATTAAATACATGTGTTTCTATATCGTTATATAAAAACAACAATTGAAATTGATTAATTCGTAAAATGTAAACAGCGTTTAATTTTCAATAAGAAACTTTCAAATAAGTATAAAATCGTTTTATGTCAGTAATTTTATATTGCATGCATATACCTAAAGAAAAGCTGTGCTTTGTTTGCTGATTTTTCTAAGTGTTTTATAAGCTTTCTTCAGGCGTCTCTCTGTCCTTTTAGTTGTACAGGGAATGTCACATTTTTCTGTAGAAAATTAATTTCTTATGTCCAAGTATTCCAATATTACAAATAAATTGTTTTTCATATCTATTATTAAATAATTTTCATTATTTCAAATTTCTTATTTTACAGCAACATCTGATTAATTTCATTCTTCTCTAGACAGTTTACGTTTGTATTTGCCTGTACATCTATCTAAGCAAAATGCGTTTGATGAAACATCCATTAAAAAACGAATCGTAAGGCCTTTCTTTTAAAATACTTTTTTGCAGGAATTATTCTTAAAACATTGAAACAGTCCTTACTAGTTATTGCAAAAGGTTCCACTTCTAATTCCATTTTGCCAGCTATAACTGTTTTAGAGACGTCCCTAGCTAGTCTTCGGAATTTCTTTGGAATGTGCTTGCAGTCTATTTGGACGTAGTTTATTTTGCACGAATTTCTGCATTTGAATTTCTTTAATGCTGCAAGAAAGGTAGAAAAGCTTTAAAATGTTTTTCTGACTCTTACTCAACATTGCAAATTTCAAAGTTAAAAGAATTAAGTTCGTACTGTTAAGTTGAGTGGTAATATTTTGTTTGACTTCTTGTCGAAGGCGTTTCTTGACCCGACATCTAGCGGCCACAAATACAAATCTTATTGTTTTAGTTACAGCTGGAGCATGCGTATTTGCTGTCAAAAAACAGAAGGAAAACTTCAAATTTATCTGTTCGTATATAACATATTTATATAATTTTTGAAATACTTGCTTTTTTCAGTGAAACAGTCTTATAACAAATTATACAGCAAAGATTGGAAATAAATCCTCTGTCTCATATCTCAGAATAATGATTTTATTTTTACCATCGCTTAATGCACTTCTTAATTTACATGTATTTAAAAACTTTGATGTTAAATTTAATTGCACTTAAAAACTTCTTTTACCAGAGCAAAATGGCAGGTCTATATTTTTAATACGATGAGACCATCGGAATTGTGTGCTAGCACCACACGTGTAGTATGTACTACTTTTCAGAACACCGGACGGATGAGTGTTGGCTTGGCATTGAAGAGAACAATACTGATCGGCTCCCGACTGCCTGCAAGTGGCCACTGTCTTTGCAGGGGTTTCAAAGGGCAAACATTTGTTCCACTCTTTAAGTAACAAAAATATATGTAGATTTCTTATTCGCATGTGCTGAGGTAAGAAATAGGGATTTTTCATGGTATGATTGCAAGATTGTGTATTCATTAATGTCTACTGTGACGACTAGTGGATACTTTTTAAAAAGGAAAATAATCCCTAAAATGAGTCCTTATGATGCTTTTCTCTTTAAATCTTAGAAATTTACCAAGTTAATAACTTCATCCCATATCCAGAATGGTTCTCCTTCATATCATATTCTTTATTGATTTATCAGATTTAAATATTTAACTCATATTTACGCCAATTTCATAACTTTGAAAACATTGAATTTGGAGGGCACAATTAAAGCCAAACAGAAAAATCTTCTTTAAAAATATATGAGATAATGAAAAGGCGATTATAATTGCAATATTGAAACATTGAATAATAAGAATCACACAGTCTTGAATGTGAATATCCATCTCCATGTTATCACATGTATGCGAAAAAAATAAATACACTGTATTTTCCAAGTCCGGACAAACATCTCCTTGGCTGATTAGAACGCTTACCTACGCAATCCTTTCCATTAGAATGTATTTTATAGCCAGTTCCACAGAAACACCGATAGCTTCCTTCTGTATTCAGACAAGAGTGCTCACAGCCGCCATTTTCATCCAGGCATTCATTCTTATCTAGCAAACGATGTCGATGTTTTAGGCAAATGTTGTACTTATGCAATGATTATCCTACTCAACATTAAAAAGACTCACGAGGAATGAATTGTATAATATATATAAACACATGAATGATACCTGCACAGTGTGTAAAACCGTATATTTGATATCCTTCTTTGCAGGTACAGTAAAAGCTTCCAGGTGTATTCACACAGTTATGGTCACATGTTGTATTGAGTTCACATTCATTGATGTCTGTTAAAGGTAAACAAATTAACATGTCTCTATTATCACTGTAAAAATTTAGGTAAATATACTTTTGTCAGATATTTCTATTGAAAAAGTATAAATGCTGTGATAAATAATACGACAAAAATTATTTTAAGTTTTGTACATTTCTTTGCTTTTGCATGCAAATATCATAAGCTCAAAATAATAAGGGCACATGCATTTGCTAAGGAAAAAGACCATATCCTTATCGAAATATAAAACTTGAAAAAAAATATTGCTTGTTACATACACTGCATTGGTAATCCTTACTTACCGATGCAAACCCGTTGATTATACTGGACTTTAAAACCCTTTGGACAAACACACTCAAAGCTTCCCTCTGTATTCAAACACTTATGACTACAACCCCCGTTATTGATGGCACATTCATCTTCATCTAAAAAAATAACCACAAATGCACTATGTTAGGTCAAAAAAGAAGATATCACACGACGAAACTCTGCCATTCATTTTATTGAAAGGAAACTGAAAGTTTAAAGAAGTGTGACTCAATGGCAGAGCCTTCAGTCACCTTTCCAGACTTTTAGTGAACATTCAGTTTATATAATACCAGAGTTTCATCCTGTGCTTGCTATAACATTCAAAGCGAGATTTCTAAAATGTATATAATGACAAACCTAGACATGTTTTTCCGTCTTGGTGCAGATGGAAGCCCGTTGGACACTGACATTTTGGCCCCTCCCTAGTGTCTATACACTCCCTATCGCACCCGCCGTTGTTTACATCACAGGATGCTGAAATAAAATGGTATCAAATTATCAGTTTCGAGATAGATTTATGTGAGTCAATATTGAAAACCGAGAGTTCAAAGAAAAATTTAATACATCAATACATCAACAGTCACGTTTGACATCATCATTTCGCAAGTTTTATATGGTCGATACAATGACCTCGCTAGGAAATACAGCCTATCGTGAAGTCAAATGCTGAGGGATGCTTGCTCTTCTGTTGTATGATTCCACCTCTGTTTTGGAGTATTATGCCTTGCTCCTGATTTTTTCGTAAACTGACTTTGAGCGTAAATATTATTTCCATAAATCATTCCTCCGATTTTAAATTTGAAGTTTTTTTTGACAGTATGCTGGAACATAGGCTTAATGGTCGGCAATTTTTATATGACGGTATATTGTAATGATTTGTAGATAATTACAGTGACCATTCCTATTGTAATAGACAGTCTTGACAACACATATAGCTCAACCCACTTTTTAAACTCACATGGTTTTTCGCACAAATTAAAGTCACATTGTTATAATGCAAAATTGTGCAATGTGCAAAATACCGGTGTATTTCAAAAATGATTCTGATCATATTTCATAACCATGATTCACACATAATAATTGGTAGGATTGATGCTCTTCGATGATATATTATGAGAGTTTTGATGGTTTTTTCATGGTTTCTCGTCAAATGCAACCTTAATTTGTATCCGGTCATTTTAAAGCTACTTTGCCTTGCGTAAATACAGGAACAGTGCAGCTCATGTAACTTCTGTATTTTTTGTACATTAATATGACACTAAGGCGCAAGATGATAGAAGTATTTCTCATCTGTATATACTGACGATTTTGAAAAAGGTGGCACGAAATATGATACCTTCCAAAATTTATTTCCATAAATCGTTCAATTTACTCAAGATAAAAATTTTAAATTTGATGCAGTTTTGTCATTTTTCGGCGCTGCATTTAGACAAAACCAAGACAAGTATGGAAAATGTATACTAGTTTAACAATTTGAACATTTCAACCAAATAGTATCATAGAAAGCGATTAATTAATTTTTATATTTACACTTACATCATACATTTTATAAACAAATTTCCTTTCGGGACATTGACTTTATAATGATTTTAGAAAATGCATTTGATTTGAAATATTTGATAATATAATAGTTATGTCTCACACTGAAGTTAATTTTAAGTTTTATTCCTAATTTGTAAACCATAGACAGTAAAGTTGACAACACATATTTCGTACGTATATTATTACATGTATTTGTTTGTTTCTTAAGCATCTCTTAACAGAATTTTTCAATCATATCGAGAAACCACCACATGCCGGCGGAGGGCTGCAAATTGAGATTTTTAAGTAGTGTTAACATTGTGGACGAATTAAATAAATTTGCACCATGGTTCCAATTTACTAGCATTTTTGAAATGAAAGAAATATCATCAAAACTCATAGTACCTTTTCGTCCTCGAGCAATTCGGGGTATCATAAATTTTACATGTAAGAAGAGAAAAGATCTTGCTCAGTCCAGTACACCTAAATGATATACGTTTTGACGTATGAAACTGCCGAATAAAGGAGAGACTCTGTACATGTGGATTTATATGTTTGTTTCTTGATATGATAAAATATTTCTCTTTTGAACTTGGTGCACTTTGATATGTAATGAAATGGTCCAAGATCCGCAGACATATCAATTTCTAAAGTTGGACTGCCAGTAAACATGACATTTGGCGCTAGACCCCTTGGTTCCGTATAGATATCACTTATAACCTTTTAATTGGAAATCCTATTAAAATGTCATTAAGACAAGACTTTTATGATTTTTAAATGACTGCTCGTATTATCTAACTTGTTAGAACATTGCAATAAACTGTCATGGTATTTTGACGAGGAAAACTATTCTTATTCCATTGTTCAATGCAAGATAAAAAGAATGTTGGATATCGAGCAATTTTAGCTTTTTGAAGGTTTACTGATTATTTCCACATAAAGGGTATAACCATAATGATCAAACAAACGAAATGTAATGTGCCAACTGAAAAGGAGTGCAATAATTATTACAAAAATGATAACATCAAGTTGTTCGGACATTTATTGCGGTCTTATACGACATCTTGAATTTTTATCGGTTTGATTATTCTTATTGCTGTTTATATGTCACATTGCTATGCTGTGATATAGATATCTGTTCATCAAAAGACTATTTTTAACCAGATAATTAATTTCTTTATGTAATACTTCTTTTTACGTTTAACAATTGATATTCAAATAAGAATGATGGTGCAAAATGTCATCAATTTAGAACAAAATTAATCTGAAACATATTGATTTCAAATAATTGCCATATTTATTTTTCAATGCATTTGTTTTAAAAGGAATATTAAGTATGAATTTACGATATATATTCACAATGGTATACTAGTAATCCACCTATGTCTCATTTTTAAAACGTGCTTCACACTACTAGTGTACGAGGGGGTATCAAAAAGTTCGTGAATTTACGATATATATTCACAATGGTATACTAGTAATCCACCTATGTCTCATTTTTAAAACGTGCTTCACACTACTAGTGTACGAGGGGGTATCAAAAAGTTCGTGGACTAGCGCCATAATATTAAAACCGCTTTAGGCACGTCAATGAATTTTAAAATATCTAGTGATAATCATATTTTCTATCTATAGAATAAACCACAAATCATAAATTTTATTTTGTAATAAATTAATAATGTTTTTGTAAGCAATTGTATGTCGAGGCGGCACAACTTCGAACACATTTTTTCCACCTAAGTGTAACTGAGAAAAACTCTTTTGATAAGAACATTTGATATCCAAAACTCCCGTTAATTCAGGCATATGTTGGGACACTTTTGTTCCATAAAACATGGAATTTTTACCTCATGCTAGAAGTTCTATGAAAATTTATCGTAAATTTTGCATGGAGTGTCCAAACAAATAAGGCCTTGAAAATGACGTCAAAAAGGGGGAGGGGTTTCCTTTTCCAACATTCTATAAAATTTGCCCCTGAAAAAAAAACTGGTTTAGACCTAGAAAATGTATTAACTGGCTACGGAGAAATAAAATGCACACAGAGTACTTGTTTTTAAATTCCAAAAGAGAGTCAGAGAGAAAAGAGATGCACAAGAAATGTCGATTTGTAGTCAAGATGTGAAAAATCAATCACGTCAAAAAATGACGTTGTTCATGTGTTGTAGAAATTAAACTCCAAAAAGCAAAATATGTTGGAACAATCAAGCGATGATCTCTCCCAATGTATGAATCCATTTACAATATTATATGCATTGAAAGCCGCTGTTCATGACATTGTAAAATCATATAAATAAGATGGATATAAGTCCATATTTAGTTCCTGGGAATCTCATGAAAATAAGTGTATGTGGTAGAAGAAACGGACATTGATAAACAATGACGTTGTCGGAGCTCACGAAACTAACGGCGACGGTGCCAGGTGATGTCGTTTTTATTTTATGATAATTTGGCACCTAATGAACGTACTAAGCTAAAATTTTCAAAATTTCTTCATTTTTTGTTGTTTTATGTTCCTTATAAATTTTGAAAGCACAGACTACATAGTATTAATTTTATAGCCTCAGTCCACGAACTTTTTGATAACCCCTCTTACCTATACATGTCTTATTATTTTCCATCAGTAGGTATTTTGGAGCACAGCTGCAGACTGGTCCAGATGGAGAATTTGTGCAGTTGTGCTGACAACCTCCATTTCCAACAGCACACGTTTCTGTTGCAAAAATATGACAATAGAATCAAAGAAATGTTGTTCATAATTGCTGATTCTAATCAATTTTTAAGGTAAGTCATGCAGTCATAAGATACACAAAAAGTTTGTAGTCCCCTGAAAACAGGTTTTGATGTAAAAAAGTGGGTTTTTACAGTTCATATACTCTATAAATTCATCAGCTTCAAAGCGTTTTTCGTAAATATTACAAATATTACACCAAGGCGTTTCCAGAACAATTATTATAACGATGTTAAAAAATTACAATTTAAACAGCTTTTTCTGAGATAACTTTTACTGAAGCATTTCGGTATTTCTGTGTCAAAAAAGATTTGTTAAGAGAGGAATACCAGAACGCATGCGTACTAACGTTGACACTGTTTTCCGTCACTCATAAGGGTATACCCTGTTCTACAAGCGCATTGAAGACTAGATCCAGAGCTACAGTGATGGTCACAACCCAAGTTCTCTACGCACCACGTTCCAACTGAAAGAAAAGTAATAAGGTCCCTTGAATGTTTGACATTCCAGTTATTCCAGAATTGACCCCACTCTTAGAAAACGGTTCTGCAAAAAGCATAGTTTCTCAAAATGTGAGAAATGGAAAATTTGGCATTTTTTGAAAAATTTAAGGTTAAATAAAAAAAATTGTCTACGGAAATTTTTCAAATCATATGCGTGTCGTCAAACGTCAGTATTAGTAGTGTCCCGTCATGAAAAAATTGGAGTGGGATCTCAATGCTATTTTAAGTAACATGTATCTAAAAATAGACATATTTCAGAAAAATCCAAAAAATGAAATTTGGGCAGAGTTTAGATTGCCATTGCTAGGTAATTATGAAATATACTGTAAACCTCAATATGCTAATGTCAGAGACTGGACACCAATAACTACCATGCATATTATTTTCAGGGATTTCCGTTTTCTATTTATAGCTTCAAATGCCTAAATATAGACATGTCTCATAAAATGATGAAAAATGTCAATTTTCCATCATTTTGAAGCTCCACTGAATCATAAATAATAAAAATATGGATCTCTCCAATATTTCTTCAATAAGAACAAGGAATAGTATAATATCTCACAAATTATTGAGGACAGGCTCTCATCTCCATAAATAGTACAAATATCTAAAAATAGACACATGTGAAATTAACTGTTTAATGTTGATTTTCTATCAATTCTCAAATTAGAGATGGGAAATTTACCGACTTTCTGTCATTAACTGTAACTGATATTATGTGACTGATAAGAACAAAAGAACATTCAATGGAATGCAGCATGATAAGCAGAGGTTTCCATTTCTATTTATAGTAACACATGTTTGAAAATAGACGTAATGCAAAATATCGGGAAAATGTCGTTTTTTGTACTTTTTTCTAAAATTTTGGATGAATAATTGCTGACTATCTGTTTTTAACTGCTATTGGCATATGGTGACCAACAAGTAAAAGAAAGTCTTATATCAAATACAAAATGAGAAGCAGTGGTTTCCATTTCTATTTATAGTAACACATGTTTAAAAATAGACGAACTGCAAAATATCGGAAAAATGTCGTTTTTTGTACTTTTTTCTCACATTTTGGATGAACAATTGCAGACTATATGTTTTTAACTGCTATTGGAATATGGTGACCAACAAGTAAAAGAAAGTATATACGAAATACAGAATGAGAAGCAGAGGTTCCCATTTCTATTTATAGTAACACATGTTTGAAAATAGACGTGTTGCAAAATATCGGGAAAATGTCATTTTTTTTGGTACTTTTTTCTAAAATTTTGGATGAATAATTGCTGACTATCTGTTTTTAACTGCTATTGGCATATGGTGACCAACAAGTAAAAGAAAGCATTATATCAAAAACAGAATGAGAAGCAGAGGTTTCCATTTCTATTTATAGTAACATGTGTTTTAAAAAAGACATACTGTAAACTATCGCAAAAATGTCATTTTTGTACTTTTTTCTAAAATTTTGGATGCATAATTGCTGACTATCTGTTTTTAACTGCTATTGGCATATGGTGACCAACAAGTAAAAGAAAGCCTTATATCAAATATAGAATGAGAATCAGAGATTTCCATTTCTATTTATAGTAACATGAGTTTTAAAATATACTTACTGTAAATTATCGGGAAAATGTAGTTTTTTTCTACTTTTTTTCTTGACATTTTGGATGAGCAATTGCAGACAATATGTTTTTTACTGCTTTGGCATTCAGTGACTAACATTTAAGTAAAAGAAAGAATATATGAAATACAGAATGAGAAGCAGAGGTTTCCGTTTCTATTAATAGTAACACATGTTTGAAAATAGACATGCTGCAAATTCTCGAGAAAATGTAGACTTTCGCACTTTTTTCCTAACATCAGGGATGGTCAAAGTGCAGACAAACGGCTTTTATTTGTTATTGACAAAATATGACTAACGAGTATGAAAGAAGCTTTAGCTAAAGTGTAGAAGAATAATGTTTAGGGGTATTTTTACATTTCTGCCTATAATAACACATTTATAAATAATCAGGAATATAAAGAATCGTTCGTTTTTCTCAAATTAGGGATATGAAATTTGCGGTCAAACTTTCATTAGCTGTAACTGACATGGCTAATTGTATTCGGCGCTCCAACACGTCCACCTCATTCCAGTACATGTATCACAAAAATATATTCTCCCTGCATTAAAACACTCAAATGACAGCGATTTTCTTAATGAATTAAGCATTATCGTTTATATTCAGGTCGACAGCCCGAGCCCGATTGAATTTTTTTAGTTAGGTGCATCCAGAAAATTTCACTAGGAGGCGGTGAATCAAATCACTATGTCAGTTTAAACTAGAACTGTCAAACGGGACTAAATACCCCCGCTGGGTTTTTCAAAGGTGTTAAATCATGAATATTTAATGGATCTTAGAGAAAAGTGAAATGCTAAAACATTTTAATGCAAATGTAATTTCTCATAATATTTTCATAAATGAAACGAAGGCTCATCCTTATAAAAAAAAACCAGACTAAATATACGGACCAGACATGAATTATGAACTTTTTCTGTCAGTGACCTTGGCCTTGCATTAATGACCTTGGATCAAAGTCATGACAGAAAATCAGAAAATAAGCAAGGTTTGTGTGAAGTAGTAGATTGAGGTTTAGCCATAAAAAAGATATGGACCAGACACATATAATAAAATTTTTTGTGGCTTTGAACTTCCCATAATGATTTTGCGTCAAGGTCATGACACACTCTTAGGTCATGAGCAATCTTTGTGTGAAATGAGAACATACCAAGTTCATCCGTAAGAAAGATATGGAGTGGACACGAATTATGAAATTTTTCTTCAATGACCTTGAATTTCCCTAAAATGACCTTGGTTCAAGGTCATGACACCCTTAAGTCATGGACAGTCTTTGTGTGAAATGAGAACCTACCAAGTTTATCCATAAGAAAGATATGGACTGGACACGAATTATGAAACTTTTTCAGTGACCTTGAACTTCCATAAAAGACCTTGGGTCAAGGTTATGACACACCCTTAGGTCATGAGGAATCTTTGTGTGAAATAAGAACATGCCAAGTTTATCCGTAAGAAAGATGTGGACAGGACACGATTCAAATTTTTTTTTCAGTGATCTTGAACTTCCCAAAATGACCTTGGGTCAAGGTCATGACACACCCTAAGGTCATGGGGGAAATTTTGTGTGGGGTAGTAGATTCTAATGTTCCTCATTAAGGAAGATATGGACCGGACACGAATTAATTTTTTTTTTCAGCACAGACAGATGAACTGATGGACAGACACACAAGCTGAATCATTTACCCCCAATCTTCGTTGGGGGGTTAATAAAGTTGAATATTCCAGGGATTCAGATCACCTTTGATCCATGCATGCTTTACCAGAATTTGTTCAAAAGAAATCTGAAATTTGCCCAAATGTTTTGAGTTGGCTTACTTTCGATTTCTCTCTCTCTATACATGCATATTTCTCTTAGAATTTAACTAAAGCATTTAAAAATATTTGTTGTTTTGGTTTTATAAATTTATTTTACGTATAAACATACATGTAGTTGCTGAAACCGGGGGGGGGGGTTTCAAAGATAGACATCATATAGGTAATAAACATTTGGGAGTAGATTTAGCCCCCCCCCCCCCCCCCCCCCTTTAAGCAGGCATGTTGCAGTGTAGTCGAATAAGGGTAAGTGATAGTGTTTTAAAAAATGGTACTGAAAGAAGTTCAATCCCCCTCACACGAAATAGGATTTCATGTTTGGACGACCCCCCTCTTCACTTTTAATTTGCTTCCCACATGAATTTTGTTATGACCCTAGAGTTTTATCTCCTTTTTTAAGACTTTATTTTCATGTGATTGTCATGGCAATAAGCTGTCATACATTGGTATCAGTGTTTGAAAAAGATTCTTGTTATGTTTTAAAATACTACTACTACTACTAAAAATTAACTTGTCTTTATGAGAGGATGGGAGTAACTTTAGTTACAGAAATGGCTTTGATATTAATAAGTGTTTAAACAAACTAATATTGATCAGAAATATAAATTATTAGCTTAGTGAAAAATCGAACAGAGAAAAGGTATTATTCCTTCATTCAAGGATACTTTGTGGCAAGTTAAATTGAAATTGACCCAGTGGTTCTTGATAAGAAAATGAAAATATAAAAAGTTTACAATGAGAACGACAACGACTGACAAGGCACAAATCATCATAAAAGCTCACTTGAGCCTTTATTTTAAAACATATTACTATAAATAGAAATGAAAACCCAGCTTATTATGCATTTCGGTTACTGCTCTTTTGTACGTGTCGGTTACATTATGTCAGTTACAGCTAATGAAAGTTTGACTGCAATTTCCTATCCCTAATTTGAGAAAGTAGAATGATTGATATTTTCTTGATTAATTGCTGGATGTCTATTTATAACTATACGTTATTATAGGTAGAAATGGAAAAATACCTTTACACATTATTCTTATACATTTTTGCTAAAGCTTTTTCATGCTCGTTAGTCACCTTCTGTCAATAACAAATATCAGCAGTTTGTCTGCACATTATCCATTCCTGATGTTACGAAAAATGCAAAAGTCTATATTTTCTCAAGAATTTGCAATATGTCTATTTTCAAACATGTGTTACTATAAATAGAAATGGAAACTTATGCTTCTTATTCTGTATTTCATATATGCTTTCTTTTACTTGTTGGTCATTGAATGCCAATAGCAGTAAAAAAAACCTATTGTCTGCAATTGCTCATCCAAAATGTGAAAAAAAAGTAAAAAAAAACTACATTTTCCCGATAATTTACAGTATGTCTATTTTTAAACTCATGTTACTATAAATAGAAATGGAAATCTCTGCTTCTCATTCTGTATTTGATATAAGGCTTTCTTTTACTTGTTGGTCACCATATGCCAATAGCAGTTAAAAACAGATAGTCAGCAATTATGCATCCAAAATTTTAGAAAAAAAGTACAAAAAATGACATTTTTCCGATAGTTTACAGTATGTCTTTTTTAAAACACATGTTACTATAAATAGAATGGAAACCTCTGCTTCTCATTATGTTTTTGATATAATGCTTTCTTTTACTTGTTGGTCACCATATGCCAATAGCAGTTAAAACAGATAGTCAGCAAGTATTCATCCAAAATGTAAGAAAAGAGTACCAAAAAAATGACATTTTTCCGATATTTTGCATCACGTCTATTTTCAAACATGTGTTACTATAAATAGAAATGGAAACCTCTGCTTCTCATTCTGTATTTCGTATATACTTTCTTTTACTTGTTGGTCACCATATTCCAATAGCAGTTAAAAAACATATGGTCTGCAATTGTTCATCCAAAATGTGAGAAAAAGTACAAAAAACGACATTTTTCCGATATTTTGCAGTTCGTCTATTTTTAAACATGTGTTACTATAAATAGAAATGGAAACCACTGCTTCTCATTTTGTATTTAATATAAGACTTTCTTTTACTTGTTGGTCACCATATTCCAATAGCAGTTAAAAACAGATAGTCAGCAATTATTCATCCAAAATTTTAGAAAAAAGTACAAAAAACGACATTTTCCCGATATACCGCATTACGTCTATTTTCAAACATGTGTTACTATAAATAGAAATGGAAACCTCTGCTTATCATGCTGCATTCCATTGAATGTTCTTTTGTTCTTGTCAGTCACATAATATCAGTTACATTTAATGACAGAAAGTCGGTAAATTTCCCATCTCTATTTTGAGAATTGGTGGAAAATCAACATTAAACAGTTAATTTCATATGTGTCTATTTTTAGACATTTGTACTATTTATAGAGATGAGAGCCTGTCCTAAATAATTTGTGAGATATTATCTATTCCATGTTCTTATTGATGAAATATTGGAGAGATCCATATTTTTATTATTTATGATTCAGTGGAGCTTCAAAATGATAGAAAATTGACATTTTTCATCATTTTATGAGACATGTCTATATTTAGGCATTTGAAGCTATAAATAGAAAACGGAAATCCCTGAAAATAATATGCATGGTAGTTATTGGTGTCCAGTCTCTGACATTAGCATATTGACTTTTACAGTATATTTCATAATTACCTAGCAATGGCATCTTAAACTCTGCCCAAATTTCATTTTTTGGATTTTTCTGAAATATGTCTATTTTTAGATATATGTTACTAAAGATAGCATTGAGATCCCTCTCCAATTTTTTCATGAGGGAGCACTACTAATACTGACTTTGACAAAACGCATATGATTTGAAAAATTTCCGTAGACATTTTTTTTATTTAACCTTAAATTTCTCAAAAAATGCCAAATTTTCCATTTCTCACATTTTGAGAAACTATGCTATTTTGCAGAACCGTTTTCTAAGAGTGGGGTCAATTCTGGAATAACTGGTTATATGCCCTGTATTCTTTAACAGTTGATGTTTTTTATGATACAAAGATTTATATTTAGTTCACTACATAAAGATAAAAATGCATTCATATTTCCTCAATTTTCATGTTTTTGTTTGGTAAAAATCCGAAAATGGCCAAATTCAATGGATCCGTCTCCATGGCAACCGGGTGCACGTGGGAAACTTCTAACACCATATTTGCTGGTTTTGTACCAAGGTGCACCTGTGGTGCAAATTTCATCAAAATCGGAGATATGTCGTTTCCAAGCCCTATAGTAAATTTTTTGGTGCTTACAGAGAATGCATGTTAATATCTAATAATTAACTGTAGTAATAAGTGCATTGAAGTTCTAGTAATATACGTCGATTTATCTTATTTGATCCTTGGACATTAATAACTTTGTTAACAATTAAACAAAAACTTAAGCGAATTGGTGAGGATTCTTCCTCAATTAGCAGCGCAATATATTTGCAAAACAAACGCCTTATCAACAAATTTAAAGAGGGATTTTAGTGAACTTTGTTAAACACAATCTCGAATTCACTGAAAAAGAGCAGGGTAAATCATCGGGTTTGCCTTCAGAATAATACATGTCACTTATCCACTTGGATTAACATTAACAGCTAATCACCCTTAACATGTACTGAAGAATAACGCTGATATAAATTCTAATGAGCACGCTGCAATGTAAAACTAGAGGGGTCTTGTGATAAGAAGAAATTCAACCTGACAAAACATTTAACAGGCACTTTGTTTATGACGTAAATTGCAGGCAATCGACATGGAAAGTTACATTGTTAAGATTTTGAAAAGGAAACTTACATTGGCATGATTTCCCGTCCTTGGACAGAGAGTAACCGGCATTGCACTTGCACTCATATCCTCCCAATGTGTTGAGGCATTGGTGTTGGCATCCGCCTTTGTTTTGTAAACATTCGTTCTTATCTAATGAAAGAATGCTGAACATAAGTAAAAAATAAAAAAAGTGTACTTTAGTGATGTTAATGAGGCTGTGATCTCATTCAATATAGTGTTAGAGAATGCTATTATGATACCAGGAACTTTTTAAAATGTATATTATGTCTATGGATTAATTGTTCGATGCATTTTTTTTATTAAAATTGATTATTTTTTTTTATTTTCACAATGCTAAGTAAATCAATTTATGTAGATTACCCTATTGAAAAAGTACTTCGACATTGAAGAAAATAAAACAATG